TCTTACCCTGCCTGCCAGACAGCATGATATCGCAGACTCGCCAGGCCATTTCCAAGCATTGCAGATCGGACAAACGTTTGTGGCCGGGAGCTTGTGGCGACTGTTCACTACGTCGTTACCCGTTATCATGGACGCATCAAAATCTTCAAGGGATATTAACGCGTGTCCATGACGGGTGCATTGGCGTCTAGTGCGCACCCGCTCGAGCTCCTGCAGGCGCTCTTCTTCTGTCTGGCGGGATCGTCGATCCGCATGTCGTTGCCGGTCTAGCCCACGTTCGGCTTCCCGTTCATGTTCAGACTGCTCCGCTCTGTGTTCTGCGTGCTGCTCCCTGTTAGTAGCCCGAAGCGCGGAAATATCATTTTCATCCATCAATTGTCGATTCTCAGCGCGAGCCAGAGTGTTGATCTCTCGCTCGCAGTCCCGGTCGTGTTGGCTCAAACCAGCACGTCTTTCTTGTAGTCGGGTTCTCTCTTGCTCGCGTCGTTCGTTAAGTTCCTGACCGCGCAATTGGGCTCTACGGGCGCGTTTGCGTTCAGCGTCTTTCTTCCGAGTACGATCACGCTGAGAGAGCGTCATATTGGCTCTTCTGGTACGGGCCCTCTCAGCATCCCCGGCACGGCGGCGGTCTATGTGGGATAGTGTATCGCTGTTTCCGCGAGCGCGCTGCCCAAGCGAGACAGGGGTTCGCTCTTGAACAGTAGCTTGTAGTACGACAGGCACTGCCAATGAAGCCACTTCGGTGGCACCCGCTATATATGCTGCCTCCATCTGGGCCGCAAACCGGCGCTGATGTACCGCAGGCAGCTGGACTCTTCCGTCTTCTCCTCCTGATCTTCAATACGATGAGCCGGAACTTCCGTCGCTTCTGTGACGTCTGGCTCGTCTTGGTGTACGCTGAGGGCCTTCAGCTCTTTGTTCAAGTCGTATCGTTTCTTCCTGCGCTTGGTCTGACGTCGTTTTCGTGCATCCTTTTCCTCTCGCATGGGTGTCGCGTTAATGCGTTCATTCTCCCGCAGACCCTCCTCCAGCTCCTCACGGGTCCTTTTCCGCTTAGTTCGAGCCATAGTTCTGCGAACACGAAAACGTGACGCGTTAGACAATGTCTAAGTACACTGCACGTAGCAGTAGGTTTTCATTGAGTAGTGTGTTGGAATACGCGTACTACCCGGGATTGCTTGCCCCCATCAAGGTTATCTCCGATCACTTATCCCACAGTCACGGGCCGTGAGGCCCGGAGCGGTTTTAGTTAGCAAATTGTGCAGTCGAATCTTCAGGGTTGGGCCCCCGGATAGTACTGTAGCTTGAGGTGCGATATCCTTTTGCCAAAAGGCGGCCGTTAATTGCAAAGGCTGGTTATTGATAGGCTATTACAGCCCCCATCCCATCTGTCGGTTAAAAGAGGCCAGTTACGGTACCCCTCCTGACCAACTGCACGCACGCAATGTGCGTGCCCATCAATAACCATTAACGACCGGCTCAACTGGTTCGCTGTCGGGTTTGCGGTCAATAGACCAGGTGCCAAATGTGCTCTCGCGCAGAGTGGGCGGTGGGATAAAGCCCCAAGAACCCAGAAGGCTCTGGAACTAAATCCCCATAGCACGGCTACCTACTTGCAGGATAAAATCCCGCAAGTTATAAGCTACCCCCTAAGCAGCCCCAGGAACCTCGGACTATCTGTGTATGTGTGTCTTGCTAGCTACTAATGCAAACTAACATGCATACACGCAGCGTACCTTGAGTAACGTGGCGTTCCGCGGCTTCCGTTTTGAAAATGGGGGCAAAATGAATTTTGAACGGTGCATTTAAGTACGATGTGTTGACCACATACAGTGTGTACACCACATATTGCAATTTTAGCGAATCGAGGCCGCCTTCGCTGCGCTCGGCAGCCAGTAGAATGCCCGCATTTGCGTTACATTAATTAACCCTAGCCCGTGACAGACAGACGGACAGACAGCACACTCCACTAGAGAGGTAAGACTAGCCGTTCGCCGCCGCTACGCGGCGGAGTGGCATGGTTTGTTGGAGATAAGGTGGCCGCAATTTTAAGTACTTCGTGTGTTGTGTGCTTTCAGTCTGATCTTGTACCCCGAGGCTTCGGCCATCCCCGTGCGATGTTGTGTCGTGCACTTAAAACACCTGTCATTTCGTAGTCTCATGTGGCAGTGTACGGTATCGTTAATTCGTACGCGTCCGTTGCTCCGTACTACTGGTTGGCGTCTATGTTCCTCCGTGGATATTGCCCTTTTCCGTTAATGCGCTCTCTCTTTTGGGCTCATGCTTTTCAGTAGTACGACACCCTTTCGTGGCTGCTAGTTATTCCGTGTTCCCAAGGTCTTGAGTGAGTTTTACAGGTTTAGTGGTCCATATTCATTCATGGTCCATGGCGTCTCATCGACGGTACCCTCGCCGACGGGTGCTATTCCGTAGTTATATGGATCCTTCCCCGTGTAACGTGCTCTCCTGGTGTGACTTCATCGACCGCGTTATCGCGCTATCATGCGAGCGCAGTATAATTCTGCTATCCTATGCTTTCGTGCTCGCGTAGTGCATCTGTGTTTCCCGTGTTATTATATTCAACAATGGCATACTGATCCACGTTGTGCAATCGTGATATCCAAAAGCGCCCCCCGGTGCTTCCGTGGCTGATCTGCCGCCCGTGCAATCGTGGAATCGCCTTTTGTGGCTCCGCGATTTGCCGTCTATAACTCCCGTTGCTGCGTGTTATCTCACGGTTTAGTGGCTGGACCACCGTCCGTGCAATCGTATTATCTCGCGGTATCGTGGTTGGTCTATCGTCCGAGCTATTGTGAGCTACCGTAACACTGTGCTCCGTGGCTTGGCTCTACCCTGGTATCGTGCTCCAATGCTCGGTGATTTCCCGCTTATGCTCTCCTGTGGCTTTGTGTTAGGTTCATCGTCTGTGCTTCATGTTCTACCGTGGTGTTATGGAAGAATTGCTTTCCGTGCACCTTACCGTTTCCGTGGCCCGTGTTTTTCAGCATGTTGAAGTGTCATTACATCAGTTACTTTCCGTGATCCATACGCTCCCATCATATTCTTGCCATTCCAAGTTTTCATGGTAGCGTGCTCGTCCGTGGTTCGTGCTTTTCAGAATGGCTAGCTGCCTTCATTAATTTAGTCCTTTTTCAACGTCCGTGGCCTTCTGTGCTTCGTGTTCTTCCCTCTACCCCATCGTGTACATAGTGTGCGCCGGTGTTCCTCTGTGTTTCGCGTTCTTGTTTATCCACTTGCCTCCGCGCTAATTCAATCGCAAACGCTGTTTTTTTTTGTTTGATGTATGCTACATATCGTGGTGAAAAGTGCGCACAATCTCTTAAGGTCGTACACTACGCGCGCGAATACAAAGGAATACGATCCTTTTTTATCGGCGGCGGAGTGGTGTTACAAAGGAATACGATCCTTTTTTATCGGCGGCGGAGTGGTGTACATGGTTATGTGGGGTGGGATGGTGGGAAGCCACTATATTCACATTTTGAATATTTAATATTAGTAATAAATTGTGCATCTTTATCTAACGCAAATATAATACCGGTACTTTGGTTTAAATTGATTCGTATTAGTAATAACATGCGTTTTTTTTCTCGCGCAACTAATTAATTTTTTGTAGTACTGCTATAAACGTCTGCAAGAAAAATATGAAATTCTCAAAACATAGTATTACTCAAAAGTTTTGTAAGTTTTATTATTTAAAAGTACTACGAAGCCTAAAATATCATTATATATCCTATAAGTACTAAAGTTTCGATTGAGGCCGAAATATGAGTCACCAAATCCTACAATTTTTTCAACAGCTCCTACGACGATATAGTACGTGTGTGCTTATCGGCGCCTTATACTAATGCTAACTAACGCGCACACAGGCAGCGCCCTGCGCGTGAGGTGGCGAACCGCAGCTGAAAATGAGAGCAAAATGAAATTTGAGCGGTGCATTTAAGTACGACGTGTAGACCACATAATTCAATTTTAGACAATCGAGGCCGCCTTCGCTGCGCTCGGCAGCCAGTAGAACGCGCGTATTAGCGTGAGGATTATTAACCCTAGCCCGTTACGGACGTTACAGACGGACAACACACTCCACTGGTAAGATAACCTACAATCTATTTACGAAATAGCTTTCCGAATCAACAGAACTTAAATAAAAACAAAATGGCGGTCGACACATGTCACTATGTCACTATTCTCAGCACAAGTTCGTCTCACCTTACGCCGCCACCATGGGCAAGTCGCTGAACCCGATGGAGGTGTATCGCCGCGAGCAGAAGAAGAAGGAGCTCAAGAAGCACAGAGTGGATAGACAGAAGGATAAACAGTCCAAGCTCAGCTCCATGGATCCGGTGGACATCCGAGAGCAGCTCAAGAATCTCGAGCGCCAGGTGGCTGCCAACCCGACGGACGGGCCCACACGCAAGCGCAAGCAGGAGCTAGAGGACACACTGCGGGCTGTGGTCAAAAAGCAGAAAGAAATGGCAGACGAGGAGCGAAAGAAACAAGCGAACGCACCGCCACCACCGCCAATGGTAAGAAAATTGCACAAGAGGAAGAGGAGTGCCGACTAACTGACTGATTTGGTTGCTGCAGAGTATGGCCGAGCTAACGCAGGCCAACAAGGAAAAGTTCCAGAGCCCAGAGAACTCCATCTACTACCATCCGACTCTAAACCCGTTCGGAGCGCCGCCACCGGGCAAGCCGCAAGTGTACCGCAACATGCCATCCGGTACTGTCGTCCAAGCTGCACCGAGGGGTCAGCCAAGACAAGGACAGCCACAGCAACGACAATATAGAAACACAAGAGATAACCGAGGTAGAGGGCCTCCACCCCCGTCAACGCAGCCGCGTGTTATTACACGACGGCCTGGGAAGCGACCGCCGTTGCCACCTGGTCCCCCACCTCCAGGGACGATCCAGGTGCCTCCGAGACCTCCTTTACCGAGTGGGGCGCTTCCTATTCGGCCGCCCCCGCCACCACCTGCACAGGTTGACGTTGCTAATCGTACTGTACCTCCTCCTCCCTCGCCACAGCCCCGTGGAATAGCACCGCTGCCTCCTTCACCCTATCCGACGATGACGGCGGACGTCACCGAGGTGCAGAATAGGAATGTAGCAGCAGTCGACATGGATGACAGCGACTGCGTAGCCCCATACCCGATGGAAGATGACAACGTCACTGCTCCGTACCCACCCGTAGGAGACGAAGACATAGACGAAGAGGCTGCCGAGCGTGAGGCTGAGAGTCAAGCGCAACTTCGGTCGCTCGTACCTGTAGCGCTTCGTGTGCAACGTCAAGTTGCTGTACCTCCGAGCTCCAGCGCTACCATCGTTGGCAATCCCTCAATTGCCCCGCCTCCTAGACGTCCAGTTCCTGCCCCTCCAGCTCCAGCACCTCGACTTTCAGTTGGTATCACGCCCCCACCGCCTCCTCCTCTACCCATGGCACCTAAACCGGCAGAAAGTAGCTCCGTGTCGAAAGAATTCGACACCTTCATGGAGGAGGTTAAGGGATTGCTGTGATAACCGAAAAAAATGCTGTAACTCCTGTTACTACCGTTAACAGTAAATTCTTTCGCGCTAAACTCTATTTAAATTTTGTGAGCAGAGAAATGTTGTGTATTGTTCACGATCAGTCAGATACATACACTAAGACTTCGGCCCGTTGGATGTCGACCACTTCTTGGAATATCGAACCAGCCAACTCTTGACGCCTTACTTGATCGCGGTGCAGATAGACGTGCCATCGTCATGCACGTCGCAGTAAGTTCCCTCTTCACACGCGACTGTGATGTCACACTCGCCCCCGAGTGGTACGGCGGCGAGGGTTAGCTATTTTTGGGGTCGTTTACGGGTAGGGCCTGATAATTGGGTCAGGCGGGTTTCCTGACGCCCTACCAAACACAGGACCAATTGCTAAGCTACTTATTGAAGTGAAAGATACGAAGCTAAGCAGTTGGGTTAAAATGCTTAGACCACGATGGTCTGCGCGGCACGAGGTTGGTCGGCTTCAGTGTCGCATTCATCGGCATCACTGTCATTGCTGATCACATCTGCGCCCAAATTGGTAGCAGCAGCGTCCTCTTCGCTGCTAGTACCAGGGACGCCCTCATTGTCATCATCACTGTCGACATCTACAGCCTCGTCATCTTCTTCACTGTTCGATTCTTCTACTTATGTAGGAGGATCCTGTTGGAAAATGGAACCTGACCCAATAATCAGGCCTGACCTGTATACGACCCCGTTAAAATTCTACCGGCGGCGAGTGCGGTGTCGGTCAACACCACCAGGACGGCAACAGTTAGGGCGAGAAACAATGACGACTTGATCATGGATAAAAAATTTGTCAGGTCAGAGCGCTTGAGGGCAAGATGTACAATGAGAAATGAGAAATGGCGAAAGGAGCAACGATTTCTATTATTTCAGTAAGCCAACGCAAGCTTACCGTGGAATAAGCGCAATGAGCGCCATAATTAGGATTCCTGGCGTATGAAACTCTATTATAATAACGTAAGGAAAGTTCTGGACGCTTTGTCTTTCGGAGCCTGGTGACCAAGTTGGTGGGATCATTGTAATGCTTTGCAAGATTGTCGCTGGGATCGAATAACAGGGAGTCTATCCGTATGCCAGGGATACCCTTTTAAAGGCAAATTGCTTTCAAAAAGCCGCTAAAAAACACGTTGTAAATTTGTGGCATTGTGAAAGATGCCTTCGTAATTTATGGCACTGGGTTTCAAGGCAACATTTCTATTTCTAGCAAGAGTAAGAATAAGCTCTTGCTTTCATGTCATTACCGGTACCGGTACCAGCAAAACAGCGATCAATCCTGGCGACTGCAGCATCATCATTGCTACCGATATCCTATCGGTAGCTGCAGCTCAGCAAATTGATTTATCCGACATTGCATTATAGCCAATTAGAGTCGAGTGGCTTCATTTTCCAAAAAAAACAATTGCCATACACCGAATGGGTGGTCTACGCAGTGGGGCGCTTTGATTCAACGCAGTAATTTCTTGTACCTGCACTAAAATTCCCAAATGGTCATATTAATACAGAAGCACAGCAAAACCGCGGAAGACAGGCTCGCGGATACAAGCTCTCGGTGCCCACGCATCAGTTTCGACTGAACATAGTGCTCTAATTTGAGATCAACAGTATAAGGTCTACCCTCGACAAATTCGTTTTAGGTTTGTGTGGATCTCAGCTGCGAACCAAACGCACGAGCATCAACCTGTGGCGCAAGCAAAAAGACAGCATACAAACTGCAGCTGTGTAAATCTCCATCTTTGGCTAAGTTTTAAAAGGTCCATGCAGTCAACACCGGCTCAACTCTTCCGGCTGATGCCGGACTGTATATCGTTAAGTGGATCAACGCGTACCGTACTCAAGGTCTCCCGGTGTCAAGCACCGGAAAGCTTTATCAGTGGCCCGCAACGTGGACGCTCCCAGGAAGTTCGTTGCAGCATCTCGGGGCCGCGCAAAGGGATTTCGAAAGCGGCACAGCATGGCCATGCGTGCGTGGACTCGTCAAGATCAGATGCGTCCAGAAGACGCTGACACTGCACTAAAGGCCTTCAATGTCAAGGCGAAGCAAAGGATGGTGAAGCTCGGTGTTGACGTTGTGTACAACGCCGGTCAAACGCCAGTCTTCTTTGAGCATCAACCAAAGTCTACGATCATTGCAAAGGGCTCTCATATTGTGTGGGTGCGCTCTACGGGCAAAGATAAGGAGACGGTGACCTGCATGCTGTGTGGTGAGTCGCTTGGCCGCAAGTATCCACTCTACATCATTGTGAAAACGAAGCCGTCTAAAGCGCCGGTCACACGTTCGGAAAACGACAGGAAAATGCATCAGTATCTCAGGCTCCTATGGAAAACGGTGAAGCCACTTCAAGCACAGCACAACATCTTCATCTGCGGGAACCCTGACGGCTGGTGGAACGAAGGTCTCACTGTTAACTTTCTACCCTTTCACTTTGGTGGGAGGGCAAACATGGAGGTACCGGTGCTGCTTTTGCTACATGAATTCTCAGGTTATTGGACGGATGCTGTTTAGCATGCGCCAAGGAGCTCAGCGTGGACCTGATGTGCAAGCGGTCTGCACTGAAGTATGTCAGCCAGCTGGTATCGCATGAAACCGCCACCTCAAGCTCCGTCTACTACCAGCATGAACATCTTTTCGCCAGTTGCGGTGTCTTGATTGATGCCGCAGAGATCAACAGATAGCTTTTACAGCGGGTTCTTCTGCCACCGTGGCCCACGCTTGTAAGTGGTACGCTTGTACTTAGCCGATAAACAAGGAACGCATTCATAGTCCTTCAACGACTGCATGTTATATTAAAGCCAAAGTCGGCCTTGTCATTAGCCAGCTCCTTGATGATCTTCATGTTCACGTGTCCAAGGCGATTGTGCAGCAATCCCATCACATCCTTGCGCTCTTCAACAGCACCGATTAATTGCACAGACCGCTTCGCACGCAGGCGGTATAGCAGGTCATGACGGTCGAAGCGCAGTTTCAACCCATCCTTGCAGAGCCACGCAGTGCTCTGGTCTTCATTGAAGACAAGCTTAAACCCACAGGCGCGCATGTACCCTAGGCTTATCAGGCTCACGTGGGCATTAGGAGAGTAGTGGGGACATTTTCCAGGCGGCGTGGCTCCCACTTGCCCGTGACTCCGTTTTCGACACGGAACATCACACTTCCGCTTGCCTGCATGACTTCTGACTGACCGCAGGCCATCATCACGTTACTTGAAGTTCCATTCTCCACATACGAAAAACAAGTCAAATCTCCGCACAGATTAACTTGCGATCCACTATCGAGAAGCCATTCAATTTCATCTGCCTGCAAGACAGGGACATGCTCGCCGTCTCCAATTACTGCATCCGCTCCGTAATCAGGTGACGCTGGTGTTGTAGGAGAGCACGTAGGGCTGCGAACAATGGGGCTCGACGGAGGGCTCGTGGGTGAGTACTGTGGCGACGCAGCACGCACAGTAACCCCACCAGCTCCAGTGTTTCGGCGATGGAGCTGCTGTTCCATTTGCTCCACTGCTTGTAATTCAAGTACCGAACGCACGTTGTTCAGCGAAATCAATCGATCATCATTCCTAATTCCACCAACTGCGTGCTCTGCATGTTCATCACGAGATGTCATGCACTCTACCACCCTGTCACGCGAGGCAGGCGGCTCATGTTGCCGGAAAATAGCTCCACTTAGAGAGCGCACTTGTTCGTCACCTTGATTGGTTTGGGTTTGACGACGTCCTTGGCTGCACTCAGCATCACCGCGCCAGTGGCCCTTCTCACAACAAGCATTGCACTTCGAGTTTTTTTTTCTTTTTTGCAATCCTTTCTGCGTTAGATTTGCCAGTGTTTGTAGATGCAGCACTTGAGCCACGGTTGCGACCATATTTGCCGCCGCGCTGGCGGCGAGGACCCTTTTCACTATTACCGTGCTGCTGCACAGCATTTGCTTGGGGTTTACTGGCCAGGCCACGGCTGTTCGCAGCGCTGCTGCTTGATTCACACACTCGCTGGTTGTGTAATATTTCTGTATCTCTAGACGGCCACGTGCGTCGCGCACCGTATATTTGTAGTCTGGATCACGGCGTAGCTGCTCCGTAACTTCATCTGCAATCGTTGGGTAGACTGCGTGAGCCTTGGTTAGCATAACCTTAGCGAGTCGCGAGTCTGAGATGGGGTCATTATTTTCTGTTAGTTCGCGCTGCATCTTCAGTAGGTCGGCGATGTAGTCTCGCACGGGCTCGTCTGGGCGAAGCATTCGCCCGTAGATTCGTTTCCAAATCAGCACCGTGTTTACCCCTCGCCCTTGGCCGAAATCCTCAGCTAGCACCCCGCCATAGCTCGACAGGGTCAGCCAGGCTGACCACGTCCTGGTAACGGATAAGGGCTTCATCAGAGATGGCCGAGACAAGAAGGCCATTAGCTTTGCGATATCCGCTATTCCAACAGTCCTTCACGCTAGAAGACCAGTTGTCGCTGAAGGGTTCCTTGCCCAGGACAAGCTGGGCCATGTTTGAGACGTTTAGACCTATAAGCCCTCGTAGGCGACAAGCGGGGTAATCCTCCGGCTTGGAGAGATTTTTGTCCACCTGCAGGGTCACTACGGCTGCTACTCGATTCATTTTGCCCGCAGGTTCAGAGTTAGCTTTTCTGCGGCTCGCGGAGGTATTTCCAAAGGTGTCTTCTCGTCGAACTGGGGGAGAAGGCGATCGTTCTTTCAATGAGCGAGCGGTCAGTTGCCAGTTTGCTGTCTCCTTCTCTTCTGCGGGTTTGGCCAATGAGCGTTGCCCATCTTTTGATTCCGCCAATGGAAATACAGTATTTTTTACTGTCACAGGTACCCGAGAGTAATGGTCACCAATCATCGGATTAGAATTTTCAGTCAAATCTCCTTTTTCTTCAGAGTCGGTGCTATTTGACCCCGACGGCACCGCTCCTGTTGCAGTCTGGTTGTCTCCTTCGCGTCGCTGCTCCGCACCACTTTCGCACCACTGGTACGTTTGTCGTCTTGGCTTTCAGTTGTTGGGCTTATAACCTGAGACGTGCTGTGTGCCTTGTAGTTACCGTCAGCGGGACGTAGCCCCAGCAGCACGTATACTTAAAGGAAGAGCAAGATAGACGAGGTGGAAGGCAGGGAGTTGCCTGGCAGAATGCCGCGGCGGGAACAACAAAGGTGAGAGGCTTGAGTACTCGCTAATACGATTGGAAGTGAGCGCAGAGCTGCGCCGCAGCCCGCTCCTCAACCTTGGGGCCCATGATTTATTTAGCGAGCAGTTGCTAACCACTCTTGTTGTCTTATCTAGTTGCAGGTGCTAGTGCTGAGGACTTGGGCGGTTGCAACCGCCATGAGAGGCTGCGCCTCTCACCATCGCAGGAGGAATATGGAGTACAGTCGCGTACACGACCGTGTGGCCGCTGCTACACGTCGGGGCCAGCACTGCTCGCTGGCAGTCTGGCACTGGTACACTCTGGTACCTCACAGCAGCTTCTACCGAACAAGGGCTAGAGGTGGACGGATAATGCCGCTGTGGGCCTCGACAGCTTTGTTTACAGACCTTTTTATAGTTATTAAGATCTACAAATACGATAATAGTGATAATCTAGCACAACACCTAGCCGTGTAAGAAAAATTGAAAAAAGTAAATTTTCTAAAAAAAAAACATCTCCAAGCATTTGTAAATGTAGGGCTTACTACTACATGTACTTGTAGCACTACCAGGATAAATGCCATATCCGGAGGCCCTGCCGGTACACGTATTATATTTCTAAACTTGGAAAGTGGACAAACCTTGAGTGAGGATGACCCTGGTGTTCTGTTGGTAGTGCGAAGCGTCTTGCCGCCAGCATCAGTCGATCTCATTAGGCTGTGCTCAGTGGCAGGGGCGGATTTAGCACAGCCAAAAATAAGCTGAGAATAATTGGGCTACAACTAGACATTTTAATGACGAAATTTCCCTAAAAAATTGCCGCCCCTACTCAGTGGCTCTAGCGTACCCGGTTGCATCGGCTCTGGTTTATAAGCTTCACCAAGTCCGACATTGAAATAGATGGGTATCGGGCTGCCAATCGCATATGTGACAGCGTAGGTTGGTCCCACGTGCTCAATTGCCCACTTGCATTACCGCTGCGATCGTTCACAGCTTGTCTCTGCTTCTGGTTATTATGGTGGCTGCTGCACGAACAGCATGCAGGATTTACACACGGCAATTTCCGTATCCACCAGCTTCGCACTTCGTTCACTGGGAGTTTTAAGTGTCTTCTTTACGCTGCAGCTCCAACACAATGGCACCAAGCAGAGTGCACACGTGTTGACATTGCTGAGGTGAGTACTGCGTCGTCTCGACAAGACATTTCTCTTCTTCCAACAGTTTTCGCAGGTATTGCACTCATTTTTTGCCCATACTTCCTCCCGCCGCTTGGTGCTTTTATTTTCAATACACCACTGCAACTTCTTCGTCTCCGATAATTGTGGCGAGCTCCAGAAGCCCAAGGCCGATCCCCACATCGCAGCCATAACTAGTTTGTCCATAAGACGGCCTTGAGGCTCGACGTACATCTGGTTATATACGTCCACGACCCCCTTTTCAATCTGTCGGTAAATGGCACCATACATGAGCTTCCCACGTATCATTGGCTTGGGGAGTGCAGGGCATTGTGGCAGGTCGATGGACTGAGCTACCTCGTATCCAATTCGCTCCCCATTCGGACGACTGACAACTCCTGTTGCATGAAGTCGCGTGGACGCACTACCTTGTTGAGTGGCCAACTTTGCTCCCCCACCATCCACGTGACACCCATGAACTGGAACGGATCGGCCTCTGTCAGTCCAGCGATTTGCGCCAATACGACACCGTCTAGAGGCTGTTTACCCAGCGTCTCCGACCGGACTTGGATCGAGAGGAAGTCGGGGGTCTCCAATCCGAACATGACCTCACTAAGATTGCTCTCGATGGTCCCGACAGCCAGCAAAACGCAAGGGTTATCCCAGTTGTCACCTGGAAGGTGGAGGTCTCGAGGGGTGTTCGTGTCGCTCGTACGTTCAGAGTACAGTGAAGCGTTCGTCTGCGTCCTCAGTTGCTTCCAGCGTGTGCTGTCGAGGCTCGCATGGTGTCGTGGGGAGCCCGAGACGGGGTCTCTGCTGGCGTCTCGCTCGTCGAAGCTGCGTAGCGTGCGGTCCAGCAATTGGAATGTTAAGTCTCGACAGTGCTGCTGCTGGCTAAGCGTCAGGTTCAGCGGCGCGAACGGCACCTCTCTTCGGCTATCGAGCGGCATTGACGTGCGCGTCCTAGCTGGTCGATGGGATTGTGAGGCCGCGGAGTTGCTCCATACACTTTTATCTATATCAGCTGCTTCGTCTCCCGCCGTCATCCCTTGAAAGCACTTGTAACTTTACTAAAAAAGTTCCTTCACGTAAACAGGGTCTTCCCTTTCGGATTGCGTCACTTTGTCAGGTGAAGCTGAGCTTCAGCACCCAGCGACTTCAATCTGCGGACACATTAGACCCCAGTTTGGACTCCACATTGGAGGTCTATGACTGTCAGTAGACAGTGTCTACAATGTAGACAACATGTACTACAGTAGACACAGCAGACTCGAAGTCTGCTTGCAGATCAGCAGATGTCGACAGTCGTGCGAAAACCTCGTGCGTGACTCAAAATGAGGCGACTCAATTGGGTCAGCATTGCTCCTTCGTACAAGTCTCGGAGGTGACTGAGAGTGCATAGCAGAAATGCTCTTTTCACGTGTTCAAGCACGGAGGAGATGGAGCACATGTTTGATTCGAAACGGGCATCTGTTTTGATCTATTTTATCAGATCATTTTTAATTCTTCCGCTAGCAAAAAAGGTGAAAAATAAGATATTGGAAAAAATAATTTTGACCTCAAATAATAGAGCTTGGCAATTCATCACGTCGAGATACCGGTATTGGTTGTCGTGAACAATACCGTTGGCTATGTAAGTAAATACGCCGAGAGCACAACCTTCCGCGAAGCCTGACTACAAGTTGTGTTCATTGTTTATAGCTTCAATAAAAGTAATGCTAAGAAAACTGCAATTTTATTTTACAACTTGATTTAAAAATATTTTTTTCAACGAACAAACCGACACAATCTGCAGTGACATTAAGTTGTCCTTGGGTTTTAGGTAAATTCCTTCTACCCAAGGTAGATTCTTTATTACAATCCTTATCTACCTAAGACCTGCTATCAATTACTTACAGGATTTGCGTCTCCGTGGCGTACCTTGTGCACGCTTGCTTCACATCAACTACCGGCTGCGACCTTCCTTGGTTTTTAGGACGTCCTGTTAAACACTTTTTAGATTGGGATTCTTAAAAGGTTATTAGTAAAAGATTAAACAAAAGCTTATTGTTTCACAACTGCGCAAAGTAGCATATTATCAAAATTATTTCTTACTTTCTTGGGGCATTTCTTGAAAATAAAAATCATGACAAGAAATGGTATGCTGAAAACCACAAATAGGCTGCTCTTTATACGATCCACAGATACTGTTTGCTATTGCTCCAAAGTTATCACCAATATGACCAGATGAGATCAGAGATATGTTTTCAGTGTTTTGTATAATCCGAACAATAATTTATTTCTCTACAGTGAGTAAAACAATTCGTTACGACGAGCGGCAAATGTTATTTGCTCAAGGACTTGTTAGGTCGGTGAACCAGCTTCGCTCAATCAAGCATGGTTTTTAAAGCGCTATGATCTTGACTACCTCTTCGCATTGCTATTTTTCTCCTTAAAATCGATTTGCTTTTTTAAATAAAAAGGCCTTCAATTAAACATTTGCAAAAAAGGAGCTTTATTGCACTACCCCAGATGTTTAAGTCCCTACTATTATTGTCTTCAATAAAAAGAAGCAATTTCATTTCACTCTTAATTTGCTTTGCAATCCTTTGAATCGCTCTAAAAGCTCACAGTTCGCTACTACGTGTAGCGCAGAACGTTGTCGAATTGATGGTCGGATAGCTCGAGCTCTTGGAACCCTTTCTTTAGCTCGGCCTCGGTCGACAGGTTTTGAGAGCAATTAGAAGACAGAGCTCAGTCCCTCATTATTTAATAGCGAAGTTCTAACTTAGAGCTTCGCTGGAGCCTCTTAGACCATGTCAAAACAGCAAAGTTATATTATCAAAATCAAATAACGAATCCGTATTAAATTGAAGAGAATCGATATTTTCTTAACCCCTTGAACCCGAAGGGTGTTTGGACCCCCCACCTCCCTAAACCCTAGCTGATTTAACGTATATATGAGGTAAGGGTTTCGATACAAATTTATATACACTTTGCTATCGTGTATAGTGGATAGGCGCAAGCTAAACCCATTCACCAGAGGAGGCACCACTCGCTATCGTGTATGTACATTATTGAATTGGTCAACAATACACGTTTGTACTTCAATCGTGTAGGTCGTTCAATAAAGTTGAGCCTGGTATGTGGTAGAGTCATGGCGTCAAAGTGTAAAGTCGAGTGAGAGAAGTGCATAACACTAACACTAACAACAGCTGCAACAAAGTCGTATTGCGCGGCATTATCAATAGTGAAACTAGATCAAAATAGACGGACGCTATCAGTTACTCAGGCAGTCATCACAGGGCCGGCAGGAAGACGGGGCCGCTTTGACCGGCTGGGACTCGTATTAGACTCATCATTTGGTTCGTCGCTGCCCTCGGCTCCTTCTTCATCATCCCCCTGAACTCCTTCTCCAGCACTCTCCTCACTGGAGTGCTTCTTCGCCGGCGCACGCGCGCAAATCGTTCGCTTTTTTGCCCCAGTAGGTGCAGGTGCCAACGTCTCATTTCGCCACGCACTGTGCCAAATGTCAAAGCAGCTCATCGCCTTCCCATTCAATACATGTCGTGCTTTCTCACAGAGAAAAACACGCCAGACCAGAGGTTTCTTCGACGAGTTTGGAAGCTTGCACTTACTGCAGTACACGGATGAGTCGCCACCGCGAGATCCGTCAGTGCCTTTGAGTATCGAGCAAACTTTGCACGCACGAGTTCGTCGCTTCCTCCCCTTATTGTTGTTGCCAACACGCCACTCGTCATTTAGCTGCGGTCGATGGGCGGGTTGTCGTCGGCCAGTAGCATCGCCACTTCTAGAAGGTGTCGCTGGGAAGCATTCGTTGCTGCGTAGACTATCCCAGTCCTCCTCACGCAGCTGGCACAACTCCAAGTGCAACTTCTTCAGAAATGTGACGTGGCTCACCTTTGGAAGGTTTGCAGCAGCACGAGCAGCGTTGTACACGATGTATGCGTTGATAATTACGAGGTCAATAAGACCAAGAAAGAGAGACTTGTAGTACCTTTTGAATTCGATGAAAAGCTGCAGCGAGTATCTGTAAGATGAACATACATGATTAGATGCTAAGGTAGGTTGTATAGACACGATAAGAACACTTTACATTTGTCGTCTTAGTTGGTCATGCACGTCGACGCCCCCCCCCATGAACGTTTGATAATCTTTGACAACACGAGGGCACACAACTTCTTGTTGCTCTCCAGTTAGCTTGTCGCGACGTACGATGCGGTCCATTGTCACGCTACCACCCGTGCTTAGCATATGCACCGCCCGAGTATCCCACCACCGCAAACATCTCATGTTCGGAACGTGGAGCGCATCTGATGTGATGAACGTCCCTCGTTCAATGTTTGCAGGTCGATTCTTGGGTATTTTAGTAGACTTAGTCCCACGCCTTTTCTTCTTCGGGAAGAGCTCTGCACTGAGCCCCAGTCGGTCGGAGCGCACCGTTCCAAAAGAATAGAAGCCCATCATCAGTAACTCCATTGACAGCGCCACAGACGAGTAATAGTTGTCCATGACAACGAGTCGCATAGTTCCATCTGAAGGTGGTTTCGGTCCAAAAACTTTGCGGAGGTTCCGACCCACAGCAGCTGGCCCTGTCATCTCGTCAGTTGAGCTGGTGTCTCCTGCTCTATCCTTCTTACCACAGTAGACTTCAAAACTGTTGCATACAACATAGAGCTAATGTCAGCTAGGACCATACATGATAAGAGAACTTAGGAGCCAAAAACAATATGGACGTGTCTTTAGACACGCCAAATACTTACCGGATGCAATATGCCGACTTCGCACAGCAGAGCATAAATTTTTTAGTGCCCCACTTATGCGGCTTGTCCTTCATGAAGACACGCATACGGTTGAAAGTAGATCTCGAGGGTAGCATCGCTTCGTCAAAGACCATGACGGCAGGTGCAATGTAGCCAGCAGCAAAACGCGCTTGTAGTGCTATTATCACCGGTCGTAACTTCCAAGCACGATCAGTGAAGGCACGCTCATCGCTGTTACTGCTGAAGTGAAGGTTACGCGACACATGCATGAAGCGATCGTGTTTGCAACCGAAGAATTACATCACTTACCAAAACGAGAGCGACATTGACTGCCCCGCTACCGTCGATTCTCGTGCGCTTTCTTGCGCTTTCACGAGTCACGAATTGCCCGAAGCAACCGTGGGGAATAGCCCCTTCATCAGTCGTTTTTTAGTGGTTTGCCAATTTTTCCTTGTTTGGGGTTATTAATCGAGCGATCAAGAGGCCGATAAATACACACAGATCTCTAGCGGTGATGGGCGCCGCTTTCAGCACGTCTTCTCTGATACGCTCTTGCGACTTGCTCTTGAACTCGGGATGTTTCCGCTCACGCGCCATTTGTTTTGCATGCTGTCCCTTCACCCGTTCGTCAAGTTTCTCTTCTAAGTAGTCATTCGACTCAGCAGCAATTGATTCCCATAGCTCCGGCTGTGCGAAATAAAGGAAAGCTCCAGAAGATGTGGCGCTTCCACGCCTTGGCGTTACTGGACTCTCCTGTAGCTCTTCAGTGTCATGTGCTGGAGGGATACAAGCTAACGCAAAAAGACATGATTAATGTCAAGATAACGTGTATATACAAGCTGCCTCACGTACCTTTAGCTGGAGCTGGATTTTGTGGCGACTCACTTTGCTGGCAGGCTGCGGACGCTGCTGTAAGCTCCGCTACGACATTAAAACGTGTCAATGCAAAGCGAACAAGTAGAAGGGCACAGGTAGTCCTACCCCGATCGATCGCGTATAAGTAGAGCATCAACTCGTTTTCTCCAACAAAAAAGTCGACACCGCGCTTGTCCTTCTTGCTCTTCCCCGGATTCAGGTACGTGAAGTCGACCGAGATACCGGTTGGTCTCTTCGAGGTCCATCCTGCTTTCTTCAGCGAGCGCGGAATGTCATGACTGTGGCTTGAGTCTTGTCCGGCAAATCTTCAA